CCCTCCCCGCCCCGCCCCGCCGGCGTTGTGTGTGGTGAGTCGAGCTCGGCCAAAGGGACTGTCGCGGACCCTGTGGAGGTCTGAAGGAGATGCGACTGCTGCCGGTTGGCCTGACCGAAGATGGACATTTATGTCTTTTTAATTACAATATCTACGCTCCAAGAAAAGAAGATGAATCTTGGATGCCGTGAGGAAGGGGGGGGGGGGTCTACAAGGTCGTGGATCAGGGAAGGAGACCTGAATGCAAGGGGAGGGCGAGGGAAGATGCTGCCTCCTCGCGCCAAACTCGGACGTGAACAACCCTGCCCCCCACCTTCCCCCGTCAGGACCCACAGTCCTTGGAGCAGGGCAAATTGGGCCGTCTGCAATTTCTGCGTCTGTCCCGCATGCTAAGCACGTTGCTCCTCATCTCTGTCATTGCAAGGCGCTGATGAACTCGTAACCACACAAAAGATCTCCTCCTCCTCCTCTTTTTATTTTTTAACCTTCTCGCAAAGGGCGTGTAAGTCAGGTTTATTGGGACCTTGGGTTGGACCGAGCTGGAGGGAGATGGGTCATCGCGTATGAGTGTCTCTCTGGTCGGCCAATACTGTACAGTACCAGACACCCGCCCGTCGACAGGCTTTCGTGTCGTCGTGTCAGCCGAAATCAGCAATCAGCTTGCAATCAGCAATCCAGTAACAAGCCTCGCGGACAATGCTCCTTGCAACATTGACGTGTGAGGCGCCGACTATGTAGGTGTAAAAGGTTGTTATCACCGGGACCCCAAACACTTTTAAAAGAGGCGGTCGGAACAGCAGAAAAAAAAATGTATTGTGTCCTCAGAAGAAAATGACACTTTGTTTACTAAGGTTACGTTGGGTTGGTTTGGTGCGTGAGCAGAAGCGGTACATACCTGCTGTTACTAAGGGTGCCGAAGCGTACAGTACCTTTCTCGCTTCCTTCCGCAGCAGTTAGTCGTCTGCGCCCCACCTGAGCAACGATATAATTTTCTCACACCACCAGTTTGCCTTGACCCCCTCCACCTTTCCTTCTTCTTCGCGAAAAAAATAATATTTGTAATTACATCTGCTACAGTAGCAGAGATGCATTGTGAAAAAGTAGGACATGTGTCTTTTGTGGTCTTTATATCAGCGATTGACATTGACCCCATACATGAGCGCGCGCGCAGGTGAGATTTACATTTGGAGCGGGACTCGCCGCCCACCCGCCCACCCAGGCCCAGGCTCAGCGCACATTATTTACATACGTCACGGGGATCGTCCGCGTACTGGATTCCAGTTTGTCATCTTTAGGGCTTCTGTCCGGACGTAAAAGCGCGAAGAGTTAAAACACGAAAATGTTCACTGAACACTTGCTTGCGTGAGGACTGACACTCTCACCTTATCGTAGAGTGAGGAAACTAATTCAATTTTCTCAATCTCCTCTTGAAAGCAAGATAATTTCATATATTTCCACATTAATGGTTATCACTCGATTTGCCCCAAAAATTCTCAGTACAAAATGATCGAAAATGAGAAAAGGAGCAGCACTCGCGGGCGAGGATCTTACGTAAACTAATTCATATGATTAGTGCGACTCAAATAGGGTGTAAGAATGTTTTTACTCATTTGTCGTGAAGGAAACCCACCAATAGGGTGTCCAGTGCTGCCGACTTGGAGAGCGGCCCGTTCTCCGCATACCTCTGCCTGTCGCTCTCCGTCTCCATCACCTCGCACGCTCCCGACGGCATGTTATCGTTACCATAACGCGTGTTTGAGGTGCCGTCTGGCCTGGAGGTGTCCCCGACTCACCTCTCGGCGCGGCCCGCGCATACTCACCAGCTCACTAGAGGTTGCGCACGAGGTGCACGAGGGCGGCGCGTGGCGGCGCGTGGCGGGCGGGGGCGGGCAGGGGGCGGGGGCGAGCGCAAACCGCGAGCTGCAATGCTTTCTCATTCGTCTGGGTCTGGCATGCGTCTGCTGGCGCCAAGCAAGCGTCCTATTAGTACCTGGTTCTAAATCTGTTTCTGTCCCTCTGTCTCCTTCTCCCTTCTGTCTCCCTGCGTCTCCCTGTCTCCCTCTGTACCTTTCTGTCTCTGCTCTGTCACACACTTTTGCGAGCCAGCCCCATATGACCTGCCCAACGCCACGTCGACTGTGACGGGCGCAACGGCGCACGCATAACCAATAAGGTAGGTCAGAAATCATCCCGCCGGACCGATTTTACTGCACGGCGTGCCGGCGACCTTCGGCCTGGGCCTCGGCAACGCGATCGCATATTCCATATCGCACAACGGTAGACGAACAAAAGGCGGCGGAGAGGTGGCGCATCTGCGTGCGGGTAATGCCGGGCAGGATGTACTCTATTATCCGGTTAATGCTGATAGGACACCGATGTGGGAGAGAGAGGGGAGATAGAGAGGGTGGGACCGGGGGAGAGAGAGGAACAGATAGGGAGAGAGTGAGAGAGAGTGAGAGAAAGAGAGAGAGAGAGAGAGCGACAGAGAAGAAAGACTCTGTGGATCAAAGGGGTGGGGTAGGGTGGGGACAGTCTGAACCGCGTCCTTGCCAACATGGCGCGTCTGTTCTGTACACATGTCTCTCTTCGGCGGAGGACCGCCGGTCTGTCAGTGACACCCGTCATGCTCTCCTCCTGGTGCACGCTGGGCGCGTTCTCGCTGCTCGGCCTCCAGCTCTTCCTCCTTTACGGCGCCACCGTGGTCTCGGCCAGCAGAAAGTCCCCCGTTGTGAGTACAGTATACTGTCCTTTTGGGGGTGTCCCAATACGCCAAAAGGCGTTCTGTGCAAGATTCAGGGCCACTACAGGTGTATGAAAAGCAAGTTCCAAAAAAAGTCGTTCTGATTCCTAACACTATACCCACAGTCCTCACCCTCACCGGCTAAGCAAGGCAAAACCATTTCCATCTAATCAATGCCGGCACTGTTTGTTGTTGACGCTGTTCTTCCTGTCCGTAACGCTCCCATGGCTCTCGCAGCAGCACATGCTGCGCCTAAGCGGCCTGGGCAGCCGCCTCGTCGTCGAGATCCCCGAGATCCACTCGTGCGAGGTGGCCAACAACGCGATCACCTTCGCGAACGTGCACATGGGCATGCTCAACAAGGTGGACTTCGTCGTCGACGCCGACCTCAACGTGTCGCGGGCGGCGAGCTCCCTGCGCGAGGTTTGAACAAGTTTACGCTCCCACCGGCTCGCCGCCGGTCGCCATGCCTTCCTGTCCCCGACGCTCACCACCGCTCGCCCCTGCAGGTGGTCGTCGAGCTCCACAAGTGCCGCGACGCAGTCTCCGCCAACACCTGCGAGTACTTCCAGACGTGGCGCTTCAAGGACCGCCTCTGCGCCGAGTGGAACGACCCGACCAAGCCGTGGAACTCGGTGCTGGGCTCCATCGAGCCCCGACTGGACTGCCCCATCAAGCAGGTGAGGGACTTGTCCATACGCCGCCGGCCGCCGGGCACCCTGACCAGACCATGACGGCATTCGCTCCTGCCGCAGGGAGAGTACCACATACGCAACGGCAGCCTGGACCTCAGGGCGCTGCAGGGGCTCCCCATTCCTCTGGAGGGCAGCGTCTGGAAGGTGCGGGCCTCCACGATGGAGGAAAACCACGAGGTGCACACGTGCACCGTGATCCACATGGAGCCGCACCGCGTCCGCGACTAGAAGCACGGGGGGAGGCCTCGTCGTCGGCGTCCAGCTCAGCGGCATGGAGCCATGCCGCGCCCCCAGTACGTGCCGCCCCGCTCGTCTCTTCGCGTCGCGCGCGCGTCACTGCCCTTTTTTTTTTATTATTATTATCATATTTATAAAGCAAAAGCAAACATGTTTTAATATAGAAGTGCCGCTGTGGCGGAACGTGCAAAGTTCCACACCTGCACCTCACAGCGCCAGCCCCCTGTGCCTGACGTTTGTGATATATCGGATTACCGTCATTATTATTTCGGAGGCAGGCGGCGAATAGTGGTCCAATGCTGGCACCAGAAATTCGCGGCAAGGGGGACCTTGCCCATTGACGTCACGTCCACGAGTCCGGGCGAGAGACACGGGCGGCAGCACGGTGACGCGGTCGGCGGCAATGCTCCTCCGGAGCGAGGACGTGCCGGGGTGGGCCGGGGCCGAGTCCCGCCCGGGCCGCCCGCCTTGGGTATTCGCTTGGTCCTGGAGTCCACACGGGTGGGTGCATTGCTCCCCTGCCCCGCCTCTTACGCGGGGTGTCGGGCATGCAATCAGAGCGGTTTGTGGTTTGACGAGTTCATCGGATATATCCTGAAAAAATTAAGTCATCAGTTTCAATGACACGAGTGGACAACTCATGGAAGCCAAAACGTTTGTTTCTATCAAATTTAAAACTTAGTTTTGTGCCCTCATTCTATACAATTTTTTCCTGCTCATCTCAGCACACTGACTGTATATAACGTGTGCATGCCGATGCACCCTTTACATAATGTGTGCATACCGAAGCACATTGTGGTTCACAGACCCTTTATTTTCCCTTATTTTTTTTATTCTGCAGGCGTGCGGGCTGTCTTGCCTACCGTCGCTCAACACGCCTTATGGCTCCGTGTGAGTATGCAACCCGCTCACACGCCTGCATGCCGAGCAAATTGAAGAAAGGGGTCTGTGGACCACCCTGTATAAAGGGTGATGCCATGCACTCTAAGGTGGAGTGAAGGTCCACTTTTTGTAGTCGCCGAATAGTAATAATGCGGGAAAGTTGCCTCGCTTACTGTTGACTTTTCAGTGACTCATGGCTTTCCCTCGTAAAATTGTGCATGCTACACACACGCCACCCTACACACCACCCAATGCGCCCGGATAGTGAACAGCGATAAGGCAACATTAGTTGATTAATTGTATTTATGGCATAAAAAGGAATAATCTGAAAAACCACCCGAACCAAAAACAAAACAAGTAATTTTCTGTTGTTTTCACTTCTTGACTCTTGATTTTATTCACTGTTTACTAATTGTTTTGCGGTTTTTTTTACGAAGAATTCGCCTGATTCTCTTCCGCCCCGCAACGCCACGGATTGGATGTCTTTTGGGGGCGGGCCGCAATCATGTAGAAGCCGGGGGCGAGTCCAAATAGCGCAATGAGAACCGGGATTGTCATCAGTCACGAGAAGGCGGGCGAGTGGCGTGTTGTGTTGAGACGCGCGGGATCGGATGGTCCAATGTGGACAGTGAGCCGCCCGGAGCCGTCGGCCCAAGCCTCCCTGACCGCCCTTCCCCTCCCTGCCCTACC